GTGTGGCACTTATGTAGTTGATGTACCTTTACAAAAATGTTTATGTGCTCAAATGACTATATAAAATATATATCGAAACTGAAATAGGGTAGGTGTTTTAGAGTTTTCCCAAAGATGTTTAGGGAGTAGTACGTTACTAGGAAGCTATTTCATAATAGTTCATATTCCAAACAGTAAATATCCAGCGATTAAAGTGGTTCCTCGACAGGCTTGAATTTGAGTCGAAGAACTGATTTTTCGTCTAGTTTTTCGATACGGCCCAGATACTTCGTGCTCTTTTGGAGTAAAATAGGAGACACTATATTTCCATATTCTGAACAATAGGCGAATAAACAATCGCAAAATTCATTGGGAATTTTTCCCGCCATACTGACAGAGAAGGCTCCTCGAGGCACCCACTCCAAGTTATACTCTATTGACAATTTTGCCATAGTATATTATTTTACATCACATAGCACAAATACATCGAGATGGATTTAATAAGTAGGTGGCTCTCAACGGTGGGGTGCTTACTATGCAATCATTACTTTTGTTCCCTGCTACTTCAATGCTAGATGATTTGGAAGATCATGTTCTCATATTTTATGCACCGCTTGGTCCGTGCCTACAGAACCTGCGAGAAAACATTAGGTCTGTCGAAGGTCCTTATTACTTAACAGTGTAGGCGCTTTGACGTTCCAGTTTTTCTATTGATTGAAGTCCGATCAGCAGCACCCTGAATTGCTACAAATATACTGTTTTTTGTTAAGAGCTGTTGATCTGTAATTTGTTTGATGAGCACTTGTGGCTCGACAACAGGTGGATTGGGAAATTCTTGCCCAACTTGATGTGGGTGTTCACTTGGATTTCTTACTGCACACGATCTTATATGCTACAAAGCAGTTTGTTCCTCGAATGGTTCCCAATATCTGCAAGCAACCTACAGTCGTCAAGAACCACACGCTTTGTTTGCCAAGCCGTACAGTCAGTGCAAACATATAAGTAACATATACACAAAGGCATTAAGCGAAGACAAGATTCAGTACCAGATAAAGCTTATCGATACATTTGTCTCCAATCCGAAAGGCTTATTCCGTTATGCAGCCTCCCTTCGACAAGCGAAAACTGGAGTTTCCCAACTTCTAGGTCTTAATGACCCGACTAATAACGACGACGATGACGTTAAACTTCTGGCTGGACAATACCCTTGAACTTTTCAACCAACCCACATTAACTATAGTGATGAAATCTTCATCTGCGACTGAACCTGAGCGCTGACTTGGTGTACCGGAAACTGCAGCACTTAGAAAAAGACACTTCTAGTCCGTATATGGCATGTTCTGCTATACTGAGGGAAGCAGCCTCAATCTTGGCAACACCGCTTAGTGTAATGTTCTAACATTTGCTAGGCCGAGGCACACTACCGGATGTTTGGAAGCTGGCTCACATCGCGTCACTTTTCAAAGGAGGTCGATGCAGCGAACATTCAAGCTACTGACCGGTGGCTCTTCTCTCCATACTTTCAAAAAATATGGAGTCCTTAATGTGCGACGTTACACATGACTATTTATTATCCTTAAACGTCTTTTCACTTTTACAGCTTGGCTTCAGGAAGGGTCATTCTTGTATAATCAACCTGCTGTCTGCGGTGGACAGATGGACAACCATTCTTGATCGCAGGGGCAAGGTTGGCGTCATTTAACGTTACTTCTCAAATGCTTTTTATATAGTCATTGTGGGTTTTCAGTTTAAGCAAGTCAAGCACTAAAACGGATATTATCAATTTGTTACATATATTTTCCGATGTGATAGTAGACCACAAGTCTACATATTCTTAGGAACTGCGGATAGTATCTTACTGTGATTTTACCGTTAATAAACCTAGATTCCTGCCTGGAGGTATCGGTGATCCACCGCTACTTGACACAGAATCCCATTAAGCGAAAGCTTCTTCTATTCTGTCCACAACCGTTTGAACCATTTGGACGTTGCTCACTCAGTCCTCAGTACTCGATGAGAAACACGGGACCCCACATTAAGTTTATTAGATCGCAGTTTGTCAAACTTCTCGCTATGACCTCGGAAATTTTTAATGCGAGATGGAGCGAAAAGATAAGACGTATTAAACCCCAAATCATAATTAAAGATATGAAATGCCAGTATAAAGTCACCTCGCGTCTTAAGATACGACGAGGGGAAAGGTTTAGGCGTTCAAGGCTTTTATCTTTAGGTAATTTAGAAAGACCCTTCAATAATTTTGTTCCCACACGCTGAGTATGCTCATGTGAGATAGTATCATTTGTCTGACATGGGCTGAGGCTTTGATGCAGTACTCTATTTGTGGTCCTACACAGGTAGGATATAAAGTTCTAAACATTCTCTCGTTTAAGTATTTGGGTACTTAGCGAAGTGATCACAAAGCACGTAAACCTTTAGCAGCAGCAACGTCTCATAGTTGTTATCAAGTCATGACTTATTATTAATCCTAAGTCTTTATGTTTTTGAACGCGTGGAAGAGATGTAACATCAATGGTATAATGGTAACTATTACAGTGACCAATATGCATGAGCACACTCTTTCTAGAACTATCTTCTAGGGCCCACCCTTGAGCCCATCTAACTTATTCGTCTAAGTCAGCTAAGAGATAAAAGTGGTCAGTTTCACTTCTTATTGTTCTTCAGATTTTGACATCATCCGCAAACAATAATTTCGACGGCTTAAGCAACAGCGGCAATTCATTAACGTAGATTAGGAAAAGTAGGGGACCTAAGACGGCGCCTTGGGGTACACCGCTTTCGATCGGTTCCTATTCGGATAGCGTTCCAATGACCTCACTATCTGTCTGCGGTAACGAAAGAAGCTTCCTATTCATTCCTGAACAGCACCTGTTATTTCGAACCTCGAGAGTTTCTGCACAAGACCTAAATGTGAAACCTTGTTAAAAGCCTTGCTAAAATATATGGATATCACATCGACAGACAAACCTATGGCTGCTGCTTAATTCTCTCTCGAAATAAGTGAGTGGGTTAAGCATGAATGCTTATTCCGAAACCGACGTTGCTCGAGAATTAACAGATTGTACGATTCTATGTGATTTGGTAACTTAATCCCAATTATCTTTTCAAGTAACTTAACAACTATGCTGGTTAGACTAACAGGCTGGTAGTTAGATACGATCTGTCTCTGACCATCCTTAAATATAGGACCAACTATAAAGTCTTCTCAATCTCTAGGGAGTTGGGCGAGTGAAAGGAACATGTTGAAGAGCGTTGCGAGCGGTCTTGAAATAATATCTGCAGGAGATGACAGCAGTCGTGGATGTAATCCTCCACGGCCCGGTAGCTTACAAGGTTTGAGGTTAGTGATCAATAGAAGAACAGTTTCCTCAGTAGCATGTACAGGTCCTGTGGCTGGTATCTCAGCCGTGTGATCAGGACAATTATTTGCAACAATACACGTAGAGTAAACTTCGGTAAAATAGTTTGAAAAGGCCTCAGGTATTGCCCGACCTGATTCAGCTAGTAAGTTTGAATTTTCGTGCAGTAGTAACGGGGGAATACAATCACTACGTTTTGTCCACCGTTTTACATGCGAAGACAATCGTTTCGAACAAGTAGGGCTATCATATGCCAACTGTCGTTTGTAAATAGTACGGGATTCAGCTATGGTCTTTTTACATATATTCCGGTTTTTTGATATTCACACTTAGATGATGCGTGTCCTGTCGACAAGAATAAGTCACAGAAGTGTTTCCAACGCTTCAACAGCTTCCGGGTTTCCTCATTAATCAATGAAGGGCAATGTGGTAGCTTACGTGTTGACCATGGGATAAACGGTGATGCTATGGACCCGAATGTAGCCTTAAAATTACCCCCTTCGTCTTTGACCGATCCATCCACATCGACCGAACGGTCTGTAGAGATAACACAGTCTCTGATTGCCAGAATATTAGCTCCACAGATATTTGGACAGGGTAAATCAGATACAGACTGTATGCCGAGTGCCCCAAAAATTAGAGCAGGGTAAGACACGATCACCACTCTCTGGTGAGGAAAGGTGCTGAATGTCTATGACATCGTCACAGTGGTGCGTGATGATAAGTACCAGCAATGACGGATCATGTTCCAGGTCAATATGTGTCAGTTTTGCGATACATTGTACAAGTGCACAATGAATAATGATTGGTAGAAGGTCGTTATCGAAACTCCAACCAGGAGCTGTTAGCTCTATCCAGCTGATATGCCGTATGTGGAAATCCCCAATGATGAGACAACATTCGTCCTTACTCCAAGAACATATTTGTCTTAAAATAAAATCATCAGCAAGACAACACAAGCCACTACATATTCACTAACCCGTATCTAGACTTAATTGTACAACATTCTACCTCACATGTATTGCGAACATTCGCCGCCGATTGTACACGAAAGTGATCCCTTACATATAACATTATGCCTACCCCCTTGCGACGAGGCTAATTGATTCTTGGCTGATCATTAATGTTTTGCTCAAAAAATAACGTACAGAGCCATTGAGAGTTAGGCTTTGAGCACGTTTTATAAGTTGTGAGACTTAGGCAGATACACGTCTTATGGAACGACTTATTACACTCGTCATTCTGCATTCCTTCTTCCACAAGGAATAAACGATATGGCTGTCTTCATATGCGAGAAGAGTCAATCGCCTTAATAATTAACTAAAAATGGTAACACGAAATGGAAATGTGAAAATCTCAAACTTTAACCAGATAAATTGGTTAGACTATAATTCATGGACGACGCCAGACCAACCTTGAGAGTGTCCACCTAATAACCAGAACCAAATGAGCGTTATAAACCTGTGTGAGGAATTAGGATTACGATTTACAGCTGATGATCAAGGTGAGAAATTAGCTTTACGGTTTTCACCACGAACTGACATAAGCTATATTGCCAAAACTATTTATCCGAATTAGTGAGTGAATTTCGCGCCAAAACCCGAGACCTGTTATCTTATACGTGATTGGTTCGTCCATAGGTTTTAGTCTCACCCGAAATTGCTTTAACTGAAATGAATTTAATAAACGTGTAAACAGCAGTTTCGATGCATCATTTTCGATGAAAACAGTGAATTTAACTCAACGAGAAACAATACCACTGTCCATTTTAAACAACGCGCGTTGTTTTATTTAGGCAGGCACTAATCAACACAAAGATAATTATCGTTGGCCTCAAAAAAATTAAATTAGACGACAGAGCATAATTATCAAGGTTAACACAGTTCCATGCGTCCAGTCTTTTCAAAATCATAAATGACCTTCAGCTACTGAATCTCCACAGGCGAACACTGATAATGGGTAACCATGATGATTTAACTGGTTGTTCGTTTGAAGTTCATGGTAAAGTTCAAGGTATGGAAGTTTCCTAACAACTCATTGATCATTAGGTGTATTTTTTAGAAAGGTCTGTACCTAGCTAATATAATCATTTGTACTTAGTATGCAGCTGAATTTGCGAAGGTAAATGGTCTTGTCGGCTGGATTATGAATACAGAAAGTGGTACTGTGATAGGTGAATTCGAAGGCCCAAGTGTAAGTGTTGATGCATTGTAAGTTTTTTTTTTCATTTTGACTTCAAGCATATATAATAGCAAACATTGGCTTCGCAACATTGGAAGTCCTAAATCGCAAATTGACAGGTGCCAGTTCAAGAACGAAAGAAGGATATCTCAGTTACATTTCGAAAATTTTAATATACGTCGCTAGTCCAAACATACTTTTTGCTTTATTTAATTCAATAACCAGCAACATAACCGTCACCTAGTGGACAACAACTAGACGTGCGTACAAATCATAGTCTCACCATCAATCTTTTGAATAAAAAGAAAGGTTGTATACGATATAGATGACTGAGAAACTTTAAAACATTGGGCGACAACGTGGCACAGTAACCGCTCCCTCATAATCGTAGTTCACTGATAAGGGGACAAGAAAAAGGACGTAGATCAATGAGAATGATTTTCAGAAAACCTTATATCAATAAAGGTGAGGACTAGAAGAGGGAATGAAGTTCTTGGGGGTTTAAAGTCTAATTGCTTTACGGTCCTGAAGCAACCAATAAGGCGGAAATAAATGCTAGCTCGAGGGAAATGAAAGAGACGGCCTGCTCATTCACGCATCATTATTTTAGCACATGGACAAGTTCATATACATCGATGTCCCGATCGGCGGTTTTTTCACGTGAAAGTTTACAGGAGCATAAGTTATAACAATATTAATCATATGTTTGACATACCTATACTTCCGTTCACAATTAGGGATGTTATTAGGTACTGTTACTGGTATTTTATTACACATGAATCAATGATTGATCGTTTTGCGAATATTCATAGCACATCTGGGAGACCTTCAAGTTTGTATTTACATGTAACCAGCCGTTAAATGTTATGATGAAAAGTTAGGATCACCAGATAAACCATTGCCTCATCGTATGTCAGTACGAAAATCTCAACATTTTAATCCGGAATTCGTGTAGAAAGTATACAGATCAATATTTTAAATCACATATGTTTCTGAGTGCCCATATGTGTGTGGAAAATGCGATTTTCAGTGCGGACGGATTATATGTTTATCAATAGGGAATTCTAATCAACAAAGTGAAAAAGACATCATCTAGACCTCACTACTGTGGAACCCCGTTATTAAGTAGGCCAACTGGCTTTTTGGCTTTGCTGTTCAAAATAGATGTACGTAACGACACGATTGGGGTAATGAGAAAATTGTTACATTTGGGGAATTACAGTATTTGTTGGACGTTTAAAGCACCACTTTCTTGAATAATCGTAAAAGCAAACGTATAAACAGTTTGTCAAACCCCTATTCCCCCCTTCGTTGCTCGTTCTTTTAATACTGATTTACCTGTTGATCGTTATTATTGTGAGCCCTTGTTAGTTGCTCTTATTAATGTGCACACTTTTGATCGTGCCTTTATGAATGGATATCGACCGTTAAACTAAATAACATGTTTCCTAGTCTCAAAGCGATCTACATATCCCAGAATGATTTATAGTTTGACTCATGGAACTCGTTACCATGTGGTGATACTTCCGTACAATCTTATCACTGCTTACAACTAAAGTGAACTATTTTTGTATCTGAGTCTTGGAAATAGTATGTAAGAGGTACAAGCGAGCTACCGCTTACCAATCCAGCCATCCTTCCCCAACGTTAATTTTCCCTATCTATCTTTTGATGAATACTTAAGCCATTAACAATCAAACGATTATTAAACTTTCCTTGTTTTAAACTTTATTTTAATACCTTTGTTTATTTAACCTCACTGCCACCATGTATAACAAGTTTATTATCATCCTGTAAAAATAAGTATATATATTTGCGATTGTACAGCTTTGGAAATAAATTCGCCGAAAAGAGAACTCTTCGCTGAACTAATCTTTCTTATTTAATGTGAAATAATTGGTTTGTGTAAAAGTTACAGCGGTTCGATTTCATCAATCCGCATTTAAACTATTCTTTAGAAATTGTTAATGGTAAAGGTCCTTAGAACAAAACTATATTTTAAACTGACAAAAATGTTATGCCATAATGAGGATTTGGTGATGTACCACTCATAAAGTTCGCTACGCTCCGTTAGTTGCATTCACGGAGTCATCTTATTATAAAGTTAGAAACAGCGAAATGGTTAGTTTGGCAAACATTGCATTGAAGGTATCACTTCCCACGACTGGTCAGCGCTTAAATTAGGCTTGGGAACAGTAAACCATCGATATATCAGATCAAATACTTGTCCTTCGGTAGGTTTTAGAACATAAGAAATATACCGAGACCCTACTGAGTTACTCCTTAAACAGGCTGTGGGACTGGTCTTCGTCAAGCAACAGGTATCGCAGCAATGTTTATCATTGGATAAATAATATCTGTCGGCTTGGAGCTTACGACAAATTATCATTAGATTTGGTAACCTCGAGGTGTTTATCAAAGCTCTCTGTATCTCCATTTTGTGTGTAATTTCGTCATATGTACTTCATGTCTAACTATTTGGAGATCAATATCCTATCAGGCGACACACATATGGGGTACACGAACAACTCAGATCTTAACCTGCGGAAAGTATCAGGACTAAAATTCTACTTCTCTTCCGAGAAATAATTCAATAATGACCTATTTCTGTTTGGTCAAGATTTTAACAAAATACAACGTCTTGGATAACAATGTAGAAATATTGAGATGGTGAAGATTCGTAGATCAGGTGGGTGATTTATATGGAGTTTTGTTCTCTGAGCTAGGTGGTTCGGTCGCGGAGCTTTCAATGTTCTTTTGAGTAACATTACAAACTTCAGGTAGACTTCTATCTGAAATAGAAATATCCTTAGATCTCCATAACTTTCAATCTGAAACGTTGCATCCAAATTGACCACCCTACAAGGAGTAAAGTAACTAGATAGGTAACAGCTTAAAATTAGTCTCAGTGGCACAAATGCATTTATTTTGCTTCCCCAAAAATCCGGAGTTTCGATTTTATTCTATACTTCTTATTAATCAGTCACTACTCCAAAACTATATTCTTTGTGTTTAGTTGCATGGTATCATTTACATTACTATTATTTCGACTACGTTGTGAGGTCGGTCTTTTTTATCACGGTTCAATAGGAAAGTGGTCTCAAATATATCGATGATCATCCATCCTGAGTAAACACGGTTTCTAACAGTAACTCACCAATAATTAAGAATGGTTTAGTTTTTAAGCGTGTCACCAATCGAGGAAGAAAGTATTTGTGCTCTCTATAGTATTTTTAATATCTCAAAAGATCAACTTCGTAATAGCATCATGACAAGTAAATACAGAAATTAATGTGGATTAATTGATTTGAACCATCACGCTGGCATGGAGCAAGGCGTTAGTACCTAGATGGCTGGGTGTGTTTTGCTTATTGTTGCAGTTAAGGACTAGTCTCTTATGGAATTGACTAGAAGAATACAGTTACAAAAAACATGATATCCATTCTAGTGCAATACAGGGCCATACCTAGTCTTATCAACAGCACATTGTATTGTATGTAGGTGAAGATGAGTAAAAATTTAGCTGAGTAACGAAAGTAAATGTTCATATACTAATCTGTGAGATAAATCTATTACAAAACTGTTGCTAATATCATGTGGATATTATGCTTTGATGTGTAAAACGATGTTCGGGTCTATGTAACACATGGATTGAGAATCAAGTGCCTAGAAAAGAAAAAAATGCACATATCACAAGTTATTTGGGCTTCACGTTCAAGTAATTATCAGAGGCGACTGAAGAAGTATCGATTAGTATTCTAGGTTACTTGATACGGCATAATAGTTAAACCATAAATGGGTTAGTCAGTGGCAGTCTTGTCATCAGAACTGTTCAAAAAATGATATTACAAGAAAGTTAGAATTAGTTGCAGAAGCAATGTTCGTTATTAGTTTCCGAAAACATACGTATTAGTTAGATAAATCCGATCATGGGCGAGCATAATGTCGACCAGAAATGAACAAATAAAACTAAGACTGTACAAATTTCATAAAATAATGATTGACCAGAGAAATAGTTAACAAGAGAAATATTTTCTATTAGAAAAAATGAAAAGATGAAGAAATAAATTAGATTTCAACAGAAAAATATGATGGTAAAACCAAGTAGTAAACAATGTTCACAGTTCATTACAGAAGACACACTTTTGCCATCCTTTAGACACACAAATAGAGTATTGTTTTCCGAATTCATAATAAAGATAACATTATAAATCGTCAATTATAAAAACGAATAGAATTTTCCGACTCGATGAAATAATATATTCAATACTTTTGTTGTGATCAATTGAGAATAGAATAAATGAGTTATTTGAACAGTTTTCAGGTGTGCAAACAATTCGTATTTTGCCCCGAAATGATAATAAAACTAATAATTATGAATCAGGATGAGTCTTCGTGTCCAACCAAAATAAGGAGGTTTGAATTAGACATTGGATTATCACTTGGCCTACTCTCAACAACGATATTCCTAGTCGGATAGAAACAAAGTCAATATGAAAAAAAGTAATAATAAATAAAATATGAAACAATGGGATGGTTACTGGCTTCAATTTATAGGAGACGCATTGTATATGGTTGACTCAGCTACCAAAAAAGTAAAGACGAATAATGAAACAACTAGTAGAAATCTGCATAGCTGTTTCCAAACTCTCCCAAATAGTATCAAAACTAATGTTTCTGGATTACCTCCTAGTATCATGAAATCTTCCTAAATGCTTTTCAGTAAATGAGTTTATCTATATATTAGGGTAGTAAAATTATCAACGTCAAAAATTGAAATGTTTACCAATCATTGGCTTACCGGTCACTTCCTAATAGTCGATATACATGTTTATCGTCATCAATATCTTGTGTAACCTAAAAATACAACATTAAAAACATGATGATTAGAATATTTTGTACGTCAAAATAATTTAATAAATATCAGTTATTAGTTAGGACAACTGATCTTTTGAGGATGATATTTTGTTTAAGAGGTTGAGGCTACTGAACTATCATACATATTTTCTTCATACTAGTTATCAAGTGTCGATGTGCTTAAGTAATTATAAAATACAGACATTTATGAATAACTGCTAGTAATTAATGTAGCATTGGGCTCAATATATACAGAAACATGGGTAATTTTGTGGAAAATATTTTGTAGTTTCTGATGAGGTGATGCGCATGCTATGGATAATGGAAATACAGACAAATGAATGACAATTTTTAATCACTAAAGAAGTACCTTACTTTTTTGATAGGAGAATGCGTCAGTTCCTATTAAGGAGAAAGATCTTTGTACGTATTGGGTATGTGATATTAATGATATTCCTAAACAGAATTTATTGGAGCAAGTATGTAATACAAGTTCACTAGAGTCATAATGCAACAGATATGGAGATTGTTCAGTTTATAGTTAAAATTATAAAATGGTTTTAGCTAGACACCCATTTAAAGCAGGTTGTTTCGTTCGAGCTCCACAGTTAATCAAATAAATAAGACATGGTATTGTGGTCTAATAGATTAAACAGACGATATACAACAGTTCGAACCCAATCAGATAGTAGAAGCGATACACCGTCACACACTGTAGGTAAAGGTGAAAAAGATCTAGTACATGAACTTGTAAGTGACTGTTGAGTTGCATTATCACATGTCTTGCTCAAAACGAAAAGGCTATCACGACTAATAAAAAAATAAACTTAGAGAACAATATTATCATTAAATTTCTTAATATACTTGAGTCGCCCATAAACATTTAAGTCAATCTCCGTACCAATTACTGCCACTGAGACTATCTTTAAACTATCACATCATGAGTAAAATATTTCTGCTTATGAATTTGCAAAAAGTAATTATTATTAGATCTAAAGAGTAGAAATACTTACCCTACCGAAAAAGTCGATACCCCTCAAACCATGTGTGTGAAAAGCGAGTACACTGTCATGCAATCGAACTATTAAACAAAATGAAATAAATAAGCGTTTAAAATAAAACTTGAAGAATAACATAAAATGAGTCTTTTATTCACACATAACTTGTTTTCTTAACGGAAAAACAGGTCTTTACAAAAGTAGGAACTAGGATACTTTTAACATATCCCTTTTCTTTTAACACCTAAGACTATCTAGTAAACATCTAATTCAAGTTGAAAATACTAATTTCATTTTGTTCAAACCTCTAGTTTCGTTGAGTGCGAAACATTATTGACTGTAGATATTTTCAAGAACAAAAAGACTTAATTTTATTTATGGAACAAGAATTACTCCGTCGATTAAAAATAAAAATACTAATCAGAAATGTTACTGTTTGAATTAACGAATCATCTACAATACGACTCAATGTTTTCATTACAAGATTCTATAAAAAAAACAGAATAACAGAAAACCTGAATTTATTATCATAATAATTATGAGGTGGTTTTGTAGGGATTTTATAGGGTAATTTTGATAAACAATTAATATCAATTAGAGCATCATCTACTGCTACTAGGAAATGCTGGATAACTAACTGTATCATTCTAATTTAGGACTAGCTAATTAATAGTGCACACTGTGAACCTGACGTGAAAGATATAAGTGGGCATTTGCAGGTAGTGTTGGGTACACAATACGTCTAGACCAATAATTAAGAATTGAATAGTTCATATTAACAACTTCAATCAATCTGTAGTATAGCATAATACTCTTCTGATGTCCTTGATGAGTTAAAGCCTCATTCTTAAAAATACTGTTAAGTATGACTTTTAACTAGACTCTAGAAAAATCCATTTGAAAGCCTATTACAATTAAGCCTGGAATTATGAATTAATTCGGTGTTTTTAATAATTATCCATTTAGTTGAATTTAGTTATCGTCACGAACGCCCCCAAATGCTCTGGTATGGCCGAGAGTGGGGGGAGTCCGCTCCTCCTCTCGAAATGCTCTCACATGGCCACGCGTATACAGCCCCTGCCAGGGAAGTCCTACTCACTGCCTTCTCGTGGCGGGGGTGTTGTTTACGAAAATGAGAGGACGAAAAGCGAATGTCCGGCGCTATAACCGGACCCCAAACCAATGGTGCACATCGGCTTCAGTATCCTGCGGGAACAAATGGCGTATGAACCAATCGTTGGTCACCGGCTACTATGGGACTGCATCTCCTCACGATGCTCCACTGCCTTGTGGATCAGATCTTCAGGTCGAAGGCTCGGGGTGTGGCCCCCTAAGAAAACCACCTGCTTCGGTTTGGGCACCCGGGCAGTATCACAGCCCTCACACATATCAAATGAGATCTGTGTGGCGCATATGTATTTGGTGCCTTCTTGTACCGATATCTATGTGTTAAAATAAAAAATAAAATCGTCACGAACTGATATGAAGTGAAGAAATGTTGTATACTACTACGAGCACTGAACAATTGATTACAATTATTTTCCAGTAAATATCGATTAATAACTTAAATAAAAAGCTATCTTCGATTTGAACTAGTCTCTCCATAACCCATCCAACTTAATTGAGGATAATTCTGTGAAATCATAAACAAATTTGTAAACTGTTACGACCAAATTAAAAAGTAAGATATGATGATAAATTTAAATATACCGCTGCATTAAGTGAAAAAGTGCATTCAAAATATTTAACAGTTCATAATCAAGACTTAAATATTACAATGAAACAAGAATGTTTAGTTGTCTATAACAAACTAGAGCAAGATAAATAGAGCGTAAAATAACATTGAGTATAATTTGTAAATGCTGTTAATAATTATTAAGTTTTATAAGGGGAAATACGAGTCAAAATATCGAAGTAATAAGTCAAAATATCTTAACTATGGATGGGAATAGATTGGAGTGTTTGATTTTATACTAAAATGTACAAACTCATCAAAATTATAAAAAAAAAACAGATTACGCTTAGGGCACAATATGCATCAACAAACGTAGTAATTGAATATGAGGTTTGTGAGCTCATTAACTGTAACGCCGTTAGGCTTTGAGGTACCGATCGTCAATATTCTGTTATTTAATGTCATAATATATATTTTAAATATAATAGAATATATTTGAAGTGAAAAACACACTTCAAAGAGATAGCTGTCTACTTTTGTTGAAGGATTTGAGCTAAATAAATAATTCATTTATTGAACTATATCAACACAAAGTTGTAGGTTATTCAAAATATTAACTATTTAGAGAGCTCTAGGAAGTATGTTTTAAAAATATCTTAAATATAGACTACATTGACTTTAAATAACAAATTCAATCAGTTATGTAACTGAAAATAAGAATATACTCATAACGCGTTTTCGAAAAGATTGACCTCTTAATGAGTTCAGTGTTTGACAGGTTATTTCAGTCCTTCAAACAACAACACGATCCATTTTGCGTTGTCATACTTAATGGATTTTCTGAAACCACAGTCGTGGGAGTGGATACGTTATGTGGTACAAATGTCACATTATGTAAACCGAAATATGATGTTAGCTAAAGTGAGTTTACTTTGGAAAATTGCTGTCGATGACCAAATCAAGACATGATACAAAGCCATGAAGTCTCTAACAATTAGTCTGCGTCATGCATGGATACTTAGACTTCCAGGATCAGCTCTTTAGGACGAGAGAAATTGATCAGAAAAACTTCTAAAAAGGTGGAATAAAGTGATAGTTTGCTTGATCCAATAATGTCACACTGTTCATTCAAAGAAATATTTATGTTTTCATTTACAGCATTACAGTTATGAAGAAATCGAAAAAAGCAAAGTAAATACACAAAACAATGATATTCAAGCTTACCAATAGAATCAACTGTTGTATCGAATGGGAATTTGGCTATTCGCCCATCTCTACTAACTAGTACACGTCCATTCATATTCACCATTGTAGCGTGTGCTAATCAAGAATAAATTAAAATACAATGAACATTGGAACATCAACAGACAGAGAAAAAATTTATTACTGAACGGAAAAGTATACTACAAGAATAACATGACCACTCAAAAAAATTAATCCAATGATAAATGAAAGCCATTCCAAGGAATAATAGAAGGTAAAATTTGAATACAGTTTTATTCAACAAACAACATCAGACAAAAATCATTCTATATCATGAAATGAGTGATATTAGAAAAATACGGACTATTTATATTGTAACTTAATAGTCTGACAAAAATATAGTACTATTGGTCATATGAGATAAATGTCTTGAGTTTTAACTCATGTGAAACTGTAGACATGTACACCTACGAACCAATTCATGACTACGATGAAACATATATTCAGTGCTTGCTACTTTATAATTATTCTTATGTCGATCTCAATTAAATACATGATCAAAACAATCATTACACATTATCTAAAATTAAAAAAAGAACACAACAACATTAACTATTTTAGCTTTTAATCTTCATTCCAGATAGAATAAACTAATAATATTATACACAGAGGTGGATGGTGGCTAGCAGTAAAATCCAGAATGCACGTTCACATCCTATTTGAGACTCGTCAGATGGATGTGCCTGCATCTCAGAGTTTATGTCCACTCCGAGACTCAGATCTATTACCGTTCGCTTCAAACTCTATCACATTCTAATAATCAACGGGAAAATTCAAACAACCAATACAAACAAATACTAATGGTAGTTAATTAGTTGACTTACTCGGAAAACAAATTAATAACGAACGTGTATCAAGCTGTACAACTTTAATCACTTGCAACTGATCTTCAACTGAAATTAAAATCAAACATACAGGGAATATATACTGAGACTAAAAAATGATAAGTGAACGAATGCACATCATAAATAGTATGCATATAGTTATTTCACTGGAATGTAGCAATACGATAAATATGTAAAAACATCAATAGATGAAGTTCATTTATTAAAGATAGTTATACATAATTAGCTTTGAGGTGTAGTTTTCGTATGAGTTAATTATACTAATCGGCCACCCGCCAAATTAAAGGAGATGGAGTGGTAGAGCAGGTATTCTTGGAAAACAATGTATAAGGACTGAATTGATATTTTACAGTGGTATAACATATGTCGTTTTGGTTATTTGATGAAGCTCACTATTAGAGTTTACATGCAGCCTCCTGTGTGTATATTTTATTATGATCGGATTAAAGAACTCAGTTATTATCTACTTTATTATCAATGACTTCATAAAATAAAAGATATCTATCAATATTGATGAACAGTTTGAACTTATTTGATTTAATACTACGAAGACCACCAACAACGATTAGAGAAACAATGTATATGTAAATATTGTGTTCAATGACTGATTCGATTGGGTCTACGGTTATTTCTTATTACGAACAACTGGAATAGTCCTAACACGAATGTAAACTAATTCAAACTCGATAATACAACAAGTGGCACACAAAACTTCATCAATAATCCCCATATGACGGAATCCAAAAAAGAAGTGCAGAAAAATCTTGAAATTTGGTGAAGATAGAACTAAAGTAGAACAACTCTATATATAGCAGTAAAACATGAACATAAAAACACAGGAAAATTAGCCAAGTAAAAGTGGTAACAACCAGTCCAAAGAAACAAACGTTGCGGGGAAATATGAACTTTTGTTAGCGTTAAAGGAAAAAATCAACATCTGTTAACACAGGCTAAATAACTTGAGGTCATCGCAGCAGTAATAATCATATGAAAATAAATTATTGGGAATCCCGATGTATACAAAACTCCCTCTGAAAATACAACAGAAATACCATAGTATATACTGTTTAAAAATTATTTTACAGATAAAGATGCTGCTTTAGATTTATAGACAAATATGTAGAAGCACACTTTAGATATATTTGTCAACATTTAATGATGCAAAATAAAATGATCAATTTCTATATTATCAAGCAATTAATACTGTTGTGATCGTGTTTCAATTGAATTAGGACAAAGAAAAACATACATAACTGGGTAGTTGATATAGTGACATACGATCAAGTGATGACAGTCATTTTTTTTCTAGAATATATGCTTCATGAAATTAAGATATATGAGTAGTGACTAGTTGATAAACTGTATACCGCTCAATTAAGTACATTAGCAACGTACATTTTTCTCAACCCCAGTTATTATATTTGTAATGATAATATTAATTAATCTGTATGATTCCTTCTGACACTACTCAGAGTATTCAAATTGACTTAAGGTACATTGATTAATCAGTTACCACTTTAACAAGGTAATAAAAATCATGATTCTGAAGAGAATGTATTTATTTGACATTCCCAAAGTGATATGAATCCACTTGGTTTTTACACAAATTTAATGCTGTTCTGTGAGTAAATATTGTCAGAAACCATGGACATTAATTATAGAAAGTAGATCACTAGCTTAGCATAAGTTTGTTATATAAGTAAATAAGTGAAGTTTATTATGTATGAAGTTTAATAACATAATTTTGTACCATCAGATGGAAAACAGAATATATGAAATCCCAACTAATTACTAATATGCCAAGTTTAGAACTCCTATATTAATGACCCAAAATTAAAATACATTACAAGCCAATAGTAATATTTTTCATCAATATGAGTAATTGACAAAAAAAACACTTTATTGATGGCCACTTTTCTCATATAATACAAACTTAACAAACAAAATAGAAGTTGGGATATTTGTACCTAATAGAATTAAGACTAGTTTTGACTTATTGGGATAAGATAGCTAACATCAGAGTAAATGTAAAATTACAGACAACGTAATAGCAAAAAAATTAGTTACGACGAATTTCACATTTCATTTTAACATTTCCAAAATCTAAGTAACTTCCTTCAATCACTTAGTCGAGATAACAAGAGGTTATTATTGACACAAATTTCGTGAAAGAACAACATATTCCATCTAAGTGATTCAGCTTGATGAGTTCAATTTATTTAGGCATACCGGTAATAAGTTCGACTATAATCGATTACTGTATTCTGGTTAGGAAGACTAGTAGTTCGGAAGATGTGGTTCTTTTTAGTTATCGGAATAATCAGACTGACATTCAACAAACAGATTTAAATATAGTTAAACCATGTAAACAATTGTTGAGCATAGAAAAATAATCAGTTCTAAATGCTCATAGAGACAACAAGTTAGGGATGGTTTAAATTAAATTATAATTCTTGTGACAATAGATTAGTGATGAAATTAAAATTAACCATAGAGTACCAATCATGAAAACAGAAAACTCCAAAGTTGATTTGTTTAACTCAGACAGAAAATGATGAAATCATTGAAGACTATATATTTATTCACATATGCAGACAAACTAGATAACGAAATCATATAATTCCTCTAGCACAAATACCACAGAACTATAATGCCATTTATTACAAAATGTTAAACATCACATGCACGTTGATATTATGGTTTTGTATTTTTATGTTATACGTTAACCCACCCACAAACCCTCTGTTAACCGGTGTTCAATTTCACCAGTTATGATCAATAGTTGAAAACTAAATGGAACTGTATTTAAACCGTGTTAAAATCAAATTATATATCATAACTAATAAATTATTATAACTAGAAATAATAAAAATAACAAATGGATTGTCACTACTATTATTATTAGCGCTGAAAAAGAAGTTGTCGATGACCACTGGGTGTAAGTGATTGACTGAATTCAAACTGCAATATTCAGTCAGTTGTGTGTATACATTTATACATGGGATATGTAAACACATGTATGGGCGTGTGCAACATAAAAATAAATAGATAGGTACACAGAGAATGAAAAACTAATCGATATAAAATAAGTGATAATTTGTGTGGTCATAGCGATAGACTTTAACAACAGACAGTAGTAACGTATACATGTGGTGTTACATAAAACATTTTTTTTACAGGAAAAACTAGCGCACGAAAAGCAGGTTTATATTTCACAGTAAACGGCGTCTAGCCAAGAATAAAACTTAAAGGTAGCTAGGATAACTTATTGGATTTCTAGTTAAATGAAATAATGAAGAATTTCGCTGAAAAAACGTTGGAATACAAATATTCCGTTACATGAAATACTACTGATATATACATTGAATGGAAACAAAATTCTTTTGTGTTCGCTAATTTGTTTCTAAGAAACGATGTACGCAGGGGTAACAGTTATACAAATAATAATGATCCAACCGTTATGTCAATGATTAACATTTGGAGTAATAGTAGTTCAAATATGTAAATGAAGTATGCTACTTCTGAAAAATTTAAGTAGCTTGTATTGTTAAAACGATTGACTAATTTTCCTGTTTGAATATTGTACACATAATTAACGGTCTCGATTTCCTTTATTAAAAAATCAACCGATTAGTGAGTGGTTATTTCTTTTAAAAAACATTCAGTTGAAGACTGATAACCACTAATTATAACTAATAACACTTAAGGATTATTATCAAACAAAGTACATTCAGGTATTAAATGTGAGCACGATACCAACGATCAAATGAGTCGAAAGTCAATAAAAATAGTTTTCAATATTAGTTAATTTTGAAAAACTACTCACCCTCCTCAAATACCTGACGTGCTGAGAATTTAAAAGTCATAGATTCCTATTACTGAATTTTAACTCCATAGTCTAAAGATATGATCATTGAAATAATTTGGAGCGATAGTTTCGATCTGGCGTCTGTGCACTGTTACAGAATTTCAATATAGGATGGAATACATATCCAATGATCAATACTTTCCAATAATTCTATCAGTCAAGTCAATCTATGTGACAAGAATTCATTTAAAATCTTGATTTACCTTTAAACCCTATTAATACAACCCTACCCAATAAATACATGAATAGAAGTTATAAAAGTCCTATTTTATAAAATTTAGAATATATCAGTTTAATGCCTTTCAAAATACTTCTCTACATTTGCGGTTGCATATTTGTCCCATTGTTCAAAATGTCAAAAGTTCAGCTTTCCAAATACTTTGTTGCTTCATATGTTGCTCGAATTGTGAGGAGATAAGTTATTTTCAGATTCTGAATGTACGCAATTATTCAGACAGTGAATAAGGATTCGGAAAACGCAAAGGACCGAATACGTTCGACTTTTTCACCAGTCCATGAGTTCGACATACACTACAGTTGTACATCAATAGAATGTGCAAAGGACTACATATATAATTGTTATTCATGTGTCATTAATAAAGTTTTCTTAGTTCACCAATCATATCATTTGTTTAGATATTGAAAAAAAAACAATATGTTCATTCAAACTGTTGACTGAATGTTAACTTTAAAATTTGTAAATATTTTTATTATAAACGATCAGTATTTATTTTTTTCATATTACCGCTTAACCTAATAGACAATATCATTTCAGATCAATAAAACAAAACTTAACCGATTGATTTTTATTCAATTACATATGATTTTTCTAAAAACGGTCTTATGTTCACTGTAAAATTCTGTGTGCTGTGTGTACTAATAAAAAAAGACAACTATCAATAGCAAAAATTCAATAGTACCCTAAATTTATACATTGGGATCGTCATTTTTCACGAACATCAGAACATTGTTCATGTTCAGTGCAAATCAACTTTTTCAAACATACTTTTATCATGTTAAGTGTTGCTTTTTAAAATTGTCCTCAAAATAAAATAGAAAATCGATGTCATTTATAAATTACTGAAAGAGTATGATGAAGGAGAAAGAGAAGAAATATTGCAATATAATTTGCATGCTTTGTGTACTTCTCTCGGTGTGTTCACACACATGTCGGTTCGAACGAAAGTTAAGGTGAATTTATCTAAATTCCAGTTCACAAATATATATATATATATATATATATATATATATATATATATATATATATATATATATAACGCAAGACAAAATCACTACTTTCGTTGTACAGCAGTAATTAAATAAATAAATAAACGACTATATATGTACATCGTTTTACCTTGTTCAATTAACCGCTCAACCATTAAGAGTAACTAAAACTATCAACTATCATATATAAGAGTAGAAAAATTACAAATTGTAACTTAATATTCCGTTGATATATTCATAAAGTAGATAAATTAATGAAAGCAACTATGAGATATAGGGACAATGTTGAGCGATTCTTAAGATTACCACTTGATCTTGAAGTCACGTTTTAGAGAACAAGTAAAAAGTCTGTATAAATTAAAAAATATTTTGTAATAAAAGTACTAAAATCTGTGACAGTATAGTGGTCTCGAGTTTATTGGGTTTCTTCAAGGCTTATTACCAGTTTACCAACCATGTGTAAGTATATAACCTCATCTATTGAAGACAAAGATTGTTTTCTGAACCATTTTAATAATTACAGATTGTCTAATAGAAAATTCACCGTCTCGTACCAGATCCGTCTATCAATTAAAGGACGAGTATACTGCGCGGCAGTTCGTTCTATTCTACTTTATGGCTGCGAAACGTGTCCATTAAGAGTGGAAGATACTCGTAAGTTACTAGTATTTGACCACAGATGTCTTAGAAACATTGCTGGCATCTACTGGGATCACCGAGTAAGTAATAGTGTGGTAAGATACAGGGTATTAGGGAATGATGGTAAATCAGTTGATGAGGTTGTGAATCTTCATCGACTGAGATGGTTGGGCCACGTGTTACGAATGCCTGAACACCGATTACCACGACGTGCAATGCTAACCGGTGTTGGGGATGGTTGGAAGAAAGGTAGGGGTGGCCAAACCAAAACGTGGCATCAGGGCTTGAAGACATTAATTTCTGGTCTGAACCATGTTGTTAGATGCAGACTGCCTGGTTGGTGTCCGCGTGACTATCGTAACCAATGATTGGAAAACTCTGTGTGAAATGGTTCAGAATCGATCACAAAGGCGTCGGTGTGTACACTCTCTGTCTTCCCTTAAACTAAGAGATTAAAATCACTTCGAAACTTTCTTTCTACGAAGTAATTCTTTCTTCCTGTACTATATCTTTACATAAGATCTTTCCTTTATATATTACATTATTGAGTTAACTGCTTCTATGATTTTGGTGTTCGTCTTGCTGTGCTATTGCGGTATGGCAACTTGGACCGATGCATATATGTGCCTGGTCTTACGTTGCAGCTGACTGACTTACTAAGGAATGCTCTAAACATTTAGCGAGATGAAGTTATAAGACAACAATATGGAGAAACCGTGTATGAAAAACGTTATCTATTTTAGAATTTCTGCTTCAATAGCCCGTTAACTATTCAGTAAACCAATAATAGAGTGACTGATTAGAGTTTACTTTAAAGAAAGTAAATTGAAACAGAAAGGCCTTGGTTCACGTGTTACATATAATTTAAGTAACAGAATTAAGTATTTGATACTTTCAACATCATCCTTTTCACTGTAGAGTAACTAAAAAGAATTTCTCCAAACAATTTTAAGAATTTTGAGCCATAAAAAAGACACTTTGTGATGTCATTCATTTTTGAATTTCGTGGAAAAACTAGAAAATAGCCTACTCGGTTCTGATTAACTCGCCCCTACACTATAATTTAACCGACTAATGAATCGATTAAGATTTCCCTCAAGAGAAAAGAACAGAGATGTACATGAAAAAAGCGAGGGGAGATTGTGGAAATGATAGCTTGTTCACTATATATATATATATATATATATATATATATATATATATATATATATATATATATATATATATATATATATATATATATATCCACAGAAAAATATAAAATCAACACAGCTTCCACTCAAGACCATTTAATTGTCATTGATTACTTAACTATTCCATACTGTAATATAAGGATGTGTAGCATATATCTAAAAAACCCCTAAGAACTCATATTTTTCTACTATGACAGGTATAAAGGTATTAGTTAAATGTAGTTGTATGATGTGAATGATATACATAATTTCAATTAAGTAAGCCTTTCTCATATTTATAATATAAAACTTACATCGGCAGGGATTTGTATACCATGATGAATTTGAATTTTCATTTAAATTTACAAGATGCAATTTATAGACAAGTGGATCTGGGGTAGATGATACACCTAAGCATACTGTAGGCAAAGTTTGATTTGGATTAATTATTAAATCGAAATTAAGCAAAGGATTAGGCATACACGGTACTTCAACCTGTATAATAATTTTTTGGAAATAAAGCAACAATAATTAGATAAAGTATTATAAAAAAACATGTGTAGATTTATTGGGGGAGTTAAATCCCCAAACATAATATATTAGGAAGAAATCAATTTTAAAAATCACATGTTGGTTCGCGGTGATTTTCACGAGTTTGAAATATAGATCCTGTCAAAGTAGACTTACTGCTGGGGCAGCAGCTTAAATTGGTAAGCATAATTTATTATACATTCATCATCATTTATTATACCTACACCCACCGTTGCACTCTCTATCGATAGTATTGCAAGCAGCATTGCAGAGCTTGACTACCAACTACACTCTAATGATACATCTAATACACAGTTCGAACGATAAGAAGATTTTTAAATTTGACTTTATGGGGGAGGATGATGCATGGAGGACTTAACTGCTGCTTTGAAAACCAAATCCGACTGAATAAGATAAATATGGTAAACTAATGTTAACCCAGAACCCATGTGATCGCGTATTTAATAATATCATGCCAGCATTTTGGAGATAAGTAATTATTTAATACCCGGTACAGGCGATAGTGCTAATGAATAGTCGGTTTTCAACACGATACCATCCTATTTCACTCGGGAAGTAAAAGCAATTCTAAAGTCCAAACAAACCATCAGACACAAATCATGTGGTACCTCTGAAATTTGACTCTACTATACTTAGTCCATAACATTTGATTCCACCGCCATGCACAAAAAGAAACCAATATCATCACCGTACTGGTATAATGAAGAGTGGTATTTAGTCAGAATCTGCCCCCATAGACAAAATCTTTGCCATCAGTGCAAATCTGTTGATCACCGAGATGGTATTGCCACCCAGTACACCCTCGATTCTAGTTTTGAAGTAGAAAAGTCCATATTCAAACCTGTAGGAAGCTTCTTAAGTTTGTTTGAGACATGTCAAATCACAGCCCACAGAAAAAAGGAATTTTCATACAGTGAGTATCAACGAGTAGTCACCTCGGTTGTAGCTATATGCAGCTCCAGACATTATCATCATATCACCAAAGCTTTGGAACGTGTGCAAATTCTGGAGTAAACTGTTCGAACGACTTGTTGGGGCGACTACAGTATACTATACGCTTTTGAGAAAACATGTTCACAGAAGTGTACTACTTAACATAGGCTGATCTAGACTTACTCGAAAATAATTGGTTTGATTGACCGAAGTTATCCGATATGCTCTTAGGTACTGTATGTAACCTAATGAGATAACCTTGTAAGTCAGAGGATTGTCCTATCATCGAAGGTGAAACAATTACAGGAGTGCTTTCTATAGAAGACTACCTAGAGTGTGATTTGTCAAATGGTGTTCGACATTCACTAATATCGGCTAGACATACAATTGGAATACAGCAATGACTCGTTAGTCTAAGAGTTCAGATTTGTCAAGAATGTATGGCCACCGAATCGTCTTGATATTGGGCTAAAGAAACTCCTTAACCAACGTAAACCATTATGTATTGCGGATAACTGCTCTCTTTGTGGTGATACAAAAAAATAAAACTCTCTAGTTACTGACAGATAATTTTTTTGTCGGAACGGGGTTGGACGTGTTACAATTTACCTACAACCAATTTTTTCCCGGAGAAAACTCATCACACAGATCCGTTCATCGATATAACATCCTCAGCCAACTAAACCAGTAGAGAAAATTGTGAACACATTCAAAAGGAGCTGTTGAAATCGGAGGGGGACAGAAAGTCAGCCGAGATACTGAACAACCTTTTACTTATGTACGGGACAAGATTCAAAGACTCACTTTCGAATCAAAAATCAACAGTAGAAAACCTAATAGGTCGTGAATTGAGATATTACCAAAAATGACTAGCTATGAGAAAGTGGTTAACATCGGATCTCCTGTATGTCTGAGATTACAGACTAAAGCATGACAAAGATAGAGTGGTCAATAACTGGGAGACGAGACCAGGTAATATATGAGGTGGCAGTTAGAAGGGACAAATGGAAAAGGTATCTTAATCAGTTACGATGATACGTAGTGGTGAAGCGTATGATACCAGCAAGCAACTTACAGATGGAGATACTAACAGACACTTTCACTCTACCATAGTAGAACAACAAAGTAGAAAGAAGTATAGACATGGCACAACTAGGGAAACTAGACCTACATTGCAGATGGCTAAACAGACGAGGGCGGTGAACGGTTCAATTTTATGTGGACCCACGAGAATTACTATATTAAAGAAGAGTGTTAGGGATATTAAATATTCAAGCACAACGCATTAGGAAGTAATCATTATTGCAATTCACATATTGATTAAAGCAGTTCTCGTTTATTTATTTTCAGTGAACTTTGATTATACCAACTGATTCCGTGTGAATTACATTCATTTGACCTACAGTGCACTTTCCTTAATTCACTATGATTTTTTGGCAAGGTGACATCTATTCAGTTTGAAAAGTTTCCTAACTAATAATCACTGAAAGTAATCATTATGTAATGGAGTGGAGCTAAACATGAATCATTCTTCTTCGGTATCTATCAGTAAGGCTTTTAGACAAGCTAGAACTTCTGTCTTTAGTGGACGGGGAAGAAAGAAGTGGATAAGCAGCAGTCATATTTCATCACCATTTAACATGGAGTCAGTAATTGGTAGCATAGCTCATAGACGTATTAAAACTTTACGTATATTTATCAAAAAGTAATGGTCATGTTGCCTAGGTTTGTCGATAAATTTGATGATTGATGGCAGTTACCAAGGCGTCCTGAGGATTCACATTTCGTGCTAATTGGCAACCGTCAGTAAGAGATATATATGGAATGCCGAGAAAACTGATCTTCTTCATTAGCATCATGAAAAATGCATAAATACGATAGGAAGACCTCAATTTATCAAGCTATTTCCTTTTATTATTAATACTAAGTTCTGGCGGATGAGGAATTCAACGATAACCTACCTAGGTATCACGGTAACTACGCAAACATTTGTTATACTCTGATTAGTTTTGTTCCAGGCCAAGTTTGGTATCTTATGTTTCAAAGGTCATAGTTGATATTATATAAACAGATTTATAGCATTATCTTTTTAGCTTCGCCTGGGAATAGAAAAGCTTTGCTGTTATACACCACCTCTCTTATCACCATGCTAAGGAAAATACGATTGAAGTGCTGTTAATTAGGTAGCGGAAGCACCATGTTATGCATAAAGAAAAGAGGGGAATTTGTTCTAGTTTTTAACCAGCTAGGAGTAAGATATTCCAAATTCAATATTGAAAACAATAATTGTAATGCAGTAAAAAAATAACACTAACTAAAAGTATTAATTATGATTCATTAAAAATACTTGGATTAATGCTAATTCTTCTTACATAGTGCTTACAATTAATAGTTACAAATTAAGACTGCTTTTAACAATACATTTTTGTTTTTAATTTGGTTTTATTTATTATACTAACTAGTTATTTTGCTGATACAACGTATTTATAAAAGCAATCACAAAACTTTTCGAGAAAAATCGAAACGATGATCTTCAGGGGTTTATAAGTTGATATCAGTCTGTGACGAAAACTATCATGAAATCATTAAATTGTTTGAAGTTGGTTAAAATAGAGAGATTAGCCAAGACATTCTATAGGCTATTTTAGTGACAAGTATTGTAAACAAAGCAGCTTACAAGCTTAAGCTTAGAATATACTTCAGGAACAACTAGAAAAACAGTTTGGCAGCCATGTAAGTGATGCCCACCCCAAGGCAGAGTAAATGATATCCGGAAAGCTGTGAAAACAGCAGTGATATTGTGATGTGTGCTACTTATGTAGACATAAGTAGTATATGACGTGAGTCGTGAACAGAATGTCTGGAGGCAGAGGGACGAGAAGATGGAACAGTTGTTAGATTTTACTAATTAATTCGGAAATTTGTTGTCAAATACATTCGATTGTCCCCCATACGTGTTCGCGTTCACTACAATATCTGCTAGTAAGGTAAGCCATGAGGTTAGGGAGAAACACTGGATCTCAGCAGCATCCACCGCACTGATAGATGCTCGTGAACTCATTCCATCTGGCTCTGAACATAGCGAAGAGCGGAGTCAGCTTAAGCGTAAGTTGACTAGAAGCTTACGCAATGATCGTGAACAATGTTGGATAACGAAAGCAAAAGAGATGGAAAAGGCAGCGGCAATGGGTAACATCAGGCAACTGTTCGAAGTTGTTAAGGAAACCGGTATTAGGAACCCAACTGTTAGCGCAACAATCTCAGAGAAAGATGGACATATTATTCATTCTCAATCCAGGAGATTGGACCGATGGGCAGAACACTTTAGGGATCAGTTCAACTGGCCTTCAGCCACACTTCAGTTTCCCACGATCTCCAGTCGACCTGAATGACAAGTTGATGTAAGTCCTCTGACTCTTTACGAAGTTGAAAAAGCTATAGGAAATCTAAAGCGTGGCAGAGCAGCAGGCCCTGACAGGTTTACCCCTGAGATTTTTAAGGATGGCGGTCCACTATTAGCAGTAAGATTGACTGAGGTCTTAGGTGGAATCTGGGAACTGAACGTAACCCCATCTGACTGGTCTCAATCACTGATTGTGCCAGTCTATAAGAAAGGACAAAAGTCTTCTTGTGACAATCACAGAGGAATTAGTTTGACTAATATAGTGTCTAAAATGTTAGCCTCAATAATACTTCGACGTCTAACCAAAGCTCGTGAAGAGCAGACTAGAGAAAACGAGGCTGGTTTCCGGCCTGGACATGGCTGTATAGATCAAATATTCACACTAAGTCAGGTCCTAGAACATAGACACACATTCAGACGCCGCACAATCGTAGTGTTTCTCGACCTTAAGGCAGCATTTGACTCTGTTGATCGTGTGGTTCTATGGCGGTGTTTGTCGCTGGAAGGAGTACCAAAGAAGTACAGTAACCTAATATAGGCTCTCCACTCGAACACAACTGGCCGAGTGAGAGCTTATGGCGAACTGTCATCAGAACTGATTACCTCAAGTGGTGTTCGTCAGGGTTGTCCACTCTCTCCATTCTTGTTTAACTTTGTCGTTGACGTGCTTTTAGAGATGACACTTTCCTCATCTGAATTTCCAGGGGTTGAACTTTTACTGGGAGATTCACTTTTTGACTTAGAATATGCCGATGACATAGTTCTATTTAGTGAAGACGCTGACAAAATGCAGAGTCTTCTAACTACTCTAAGCATGTTCGGGATGCGATTCTCTCCCTCGAAATGCAAAATGTTGCTTCAGGATTTAGTTGCGTCGACATCGGAACTAGTGATAGGGAGTGAAGTAGTTGAGCGTGTCGACCGCTTCGCTTATATAGGAAGTCTCATCAATCCTTGTGGTCTGGTGTGTGACGAAATCTCAACACGGATACAGAAGGCTCGACTAGCTTTTGCCAACTTGCGTCATTTGTGGCGTAGGCGAGATATCCGTCTATCAACCAAAGAATGTGTTTTACTGCGCAGCAGTTCTTTCCATCCTACCTTATGGCAGTGAAACATGGCCAGTAAGAGTAGAGGATATTCTCAGGTTATTAGTATTCGACCATAGATGTCTCCGAAACATTGCTCGTATATCCTTGGATCACCGAGTAAGTAATGCAGTTGTTAGAAAACGGGCACTAGGTAAGGATGGCAAATCAATTGATGAAGTAGTGAAACTTAATCAGTTGAGATGGCTGGGACATGTGCTGCGCATGCCCGACCACCGACTGCTTCGACGTGCTATGTTTTATGGTGTAGGAGTATGTTGGAAGAAAGCTAGGGGTGGCCAAACCAAAATGTGGTACAAATCCATGAAGTCACTGACAAGTGGACTGAGCCATGTTGGTAGGTGCAGACTACTTGGTTGGGGGCCGCGAAATTATAGCAACCGATGGTTAGAGACCTTCAACGACATGGCTCAAAATCGTTTGAATGGCGCAGGTGCATCCACTCTTCGTGCTCTCCCAAATTCTAATCTTCTGAATTCATGTGCTTTTTTCAAATTTATTTCACTGGATTATACTCCTTGAATAACATCTTCAAACCCTAATGTTTCCGATAACTGCTTATACCCTTACTACCTCTACCACTATGGGATTTGAGTCGACAACTGTATCTCTGTGCTAATGTGGTATGGCAACTCGAATTGATGTACGTGCGTACGAAGTTCCACGTTGTTGCTGATGGAATGACTGAGCCTAAAAACTTATGACTGGCTGATACCGTGTAAAAAAATACATGATTATAACATAGATACGTATTACGAAATGCGATGGACCGATATGTTAGACATTTATTGAGAACTAGGAAACACTGGACAGCTATTACGTTCTAGTATGAGACTCCTCAACAGTGTGCACCTACAACTTCACAATGATGAATGGAAATCAGGACCCTCAGCTTTCGTACAAACGCTTAATCACTAGACCGTTTAGCCACAATCCATTGGCGTATATGTTTAACTTCAACAAAATGTATATTGGAGCCCAGCGTTAACGCGTGAGATCGAGGGTCCTGAGCTCAATCACCGGCTGTGGATTTATGGATGTACACTGATGAGAAGTGCCATACCAGGACTTAATAGCTGTCCCGTGCTTTCCGGTTTTAAATGGTCGTCTAGCTTATACTGATTCTTAATATCAATAGCAATCAATAATCTCCAAAAACCTCCACACACATTGTCAAGGTAAGTGAATAATTTATGAATATCCACTCATTAAGATAGTCAAAACCTGTGTCGCTCTGGCTTAGACAATGTTGGATAGGATACATAGAGGTTCGATTCAAGAATTCATCAATCGTTTATCCGAAGAATTTCAAAGATGACTGACTGACTGAAAGAACCATAGACTAAAACACTTGTTTCATATTTACTGAAAATGAACAAGATGGTAGAGATGTATTCAATATTCCTTTTGTTGTTACTGATACTTACTATTATATAGGAATTCAAAGTTTTATAATTATGGTTGTAAAGTGTACTAATTAAAAGATGTCAGGTTCTATTTTCCTCCAATTAATTATTTCAAGGTTTAGTTCATAGGCTAAAATTAAAAAACGGAGTTAAGAGAATTATATATATATATATATATATATTCACAACGACTTACACGTTTCACTTCAATAAACGTATTCCTTGGATTATACCATTCCATAACAAGGATACTTTTATCAATAGCACCACATAAATATTTCATCCCTTTGAATTGATTACGTACTACAGTTGCAATGTAACAACCTCGTGTGTCTGGAACTTTGACAGTTGGTTGAAAACGCCTTAAATATGATAGTATGCGTGTAAAAGAGAGAAAGATTAAACAGACATTAAAATCCGACATACCATTTCACCACCCGCCCACCTCCACAATTTCTCCCTCCCCGAGACAGAGGAAGAAGCTGTAATGCTCAGCTTAACGTCAATTATTTAAGAGTAATTTAATGTAGCAAACTAGTTACCATTGTGACAAAAGTAAGTGGTATTGTAATAATAGATAGTTTCCGAAACGTACCAAAGAAAGAGAAAAGTAATTTTTTAAAAAAATGACACGAAGGAAAAAAGAACAATTATCTGACTATTTAATTTGAAAAAAGATCTATTAGAGTAGATTATCTAAATAATAGCAATGGAAGAAGGAGAATTATTTCTAATTAAAATTTATTCCATTACAAACGTATGTAATAGACTTCCAATTACAAGCTCGTTCGTACAAAAGATAGTGATACTACTCAGCTGACTAAGACGAAGTTGGGGTTCGAACTTGCTGTGTGACAGTTGAAAACTTAGTGGTCTTAATTACTAAGTCACTAACTAGATTTACGTAATGCTTAATCGCTAGACCAATCGACAAATATAAGAGATAAACTTAATTCATTATTTTAAGAAAACTTTCCTTGACAGCGTTAAGCTACGTTTTCTCTCCAATCGAAAATTAACTAAGTTGTTGTTCAACTCGTCTTCGACTATCGCCAGATGCATCAAAGTACTTTATATCATTCTTACATTTTCATACATCGTTTTATCATCGAAACAATTGTGTAGATTAACATATGGTACAATCCTATTTTTGTCAGTTGCAAAAAATCCCTACTCCATTTAACTGTCTGATCTTTTCATTAGTTTACAGATTATATATGGTAACTTAACACACAGACTATAAAGTACATTACATATTGCCATTTCACTATATGCATATAAATAGGATGAAATAATTTCAACTGATCACATAAAATTGTGCATTTTGTTTATAGTTATATTTCAGTGATCATCGTCACACTCATTCGTCAATCATCACCATATTGTAGATCAATAATTTAAAACAAACTGTTCAAAACTAGTTAAATAGATTAATTTGAAAAGACACATTCTGTAGTTGTTATGATGTTGGCTGTCAACAAAAAAATGTACATGCACAATCATTTAGTTATTTACTGAAATCCGTATCTTGTTTTTTTTCTTATAATTAAACACAATCGATGACTAATTTACTAAAGCTGTTTTTTATGTAACAAATTTCAAAGTATTTAGTCATGGTAAGCATTATGCTAGTTAGGTTTATGAATTTCGAAGAGGTTCTGAAAACAATTCCACGGGAGAGTATTGGGTTGTGGATGAGCGATTCCGAGCTGTCACAACATACGAAACAAAAAAGAACCGTCTAATACATTTTGGTTCCCATTGATTTTAAAACTAATGTTACTTCATGACAAGAACTATAAATAAATTCATAATACTGAATGACCATACGTTTTTGGTGAAAATGTATTCTTTGGGTTAGATGGTATAATTTTGAGGCTTTTATTATCTTTCCTGACATTTGTATGCAAAGAATGACAGGATAAATTTTGACAATAATCAATCAAATTTAATATCGACAGAATAAGCTGGTAGTTTACTTGTGGTAAAGTAATATAAGCTTCAAAATGAAATTACCTTGATTTTAGAGAATACAAACTTACCAAAATCATTGATCTTGAATATCAATAAAAATTATCACTACTATTTCGATTATGCATAAATCACTTCTTAAAATGTTTGTTCAGTTAGTCACATATCACTTGAAACACTTTATCATCTCATAACTTCTACATTCTTTACTAATATATCATTACATTTTAACAATTTGAGGTGGATGTAAGTAGCTTATAATAGAATCACAATTAACAATACATATACAGAACATAGCAGCCTCAGAACAAATATACATATCCCACATTTTTCAGTCGCATTAATGAGATAAGAAAAAGAAAAATGACTCGAAACAACAACAACAATAATAATACCAAGTGTATTGAAAATGAAATATAATCTGCCAAAAAAGGAATGGAATTTCACAGTCTAAATTATAATCCAAAAAGTTTTAGTAGAGAGAGTACAAATGCTTTTATAAAGAAGAACTCTATTCAAAGTTTTACGAATGAATTTTAAAAATTAAATCTTTTCCATTGCACTTTCTAAGTCATAAAGTCAAAAAAGCGCACACAGACATACGTGTACTTGTTATCGGTTTTAAAAGATGCCGATAGCTGTTGTGCAACAAGCATAAACAGAGCTCCTCTTATAAAATTAATCGGATGTATATATATCACTGAACATTTGCTCAATTTATAAAGCAAAAAATGTTACAGTTTCCGGACCGATTGTATAATCGACTATGTACACGTTATAATTAAAAAAAGAAATATGTTGATTACATAAGAATGACGATTGATTTCAAGAAACTGTTGGAAAAACTTATTTCCTTAGTGTGTGAAAACTATATGTCATACTAATGACATATATCTTTGTGGAGTAAATAGTACTGAAATTATTCAACAATCCTGAAAACTATTATTCTAAGTAGCAGTCCGCTATCATTGGTGGGATCCTTCATGAAAGTGTTCTTTATATTCTAATAGACAGCGATAACTGATATACAAAATTCATCCGATGATGACAACGTACGATTGCCAGTGACGAGTGGACTATAATTACGAAGCGGTTGGAATCGGAAAATGTCATAACAATCCACGGTAAAGGGAACTGTCGAATTAAATTAGCATTAAAAAAATGATGTAGTAGAGATTGATATCATACACGTTTAAACGAGCTTAACCGTTGAAGAAAATGCTAATTTACTTTACGTAAATGATTTCGTCGAAAAGAAAATTTTCTTCGCTGAATTCTCTTTATTTTTATTTAATTTACTTTTCGTTGAATTGCAGTCGCCCTTAACATGCAACTAAATGACACAATACATTGTCTAGCATTGCATCTCTTGTTGTCACGCTCACACAATAGGATATCTAATAAGTTTTCATTTCCAGCTTATGCAAAAAAGATCGATAATAATAGAAATCTTCATTGTAACTAACATGGTTTACATAAAATAAATAAAACAACTTCTTGACATATGAGAATGAAACATAGCGAGGGGACCTATTCTGCCCCTCGAAACTTACTTATGAAGAAATCGTGTTTGTGATGTTCGACTTTTCATCAGTGAAATCAAATTATGACTAAATAATTGAGGATGTTGACCTGATATTGACATCATTGTATCTTTGAACACAAATAACCAAAGACATCGTCTTGGAACAAGCTAATAAGTAGAAAACAAAAGAACAATCTTATGAAGCGGTCTTCTTAAAAAGATTGAAAGGTTATGTATTTATGAACTTTATATCCCTTGTAATATATATATATATATATATATATATATATATATATATATATATATAACAACTAGAGCATTTAGTCAGTCAGCTACAACGTAGGACCAGACACATATATGCATCGGTCCAAGTTGCCATACCGCATTAGCACAACAAGATGAATACCGGATTCATAGAAATAGTTAATTCAGTGGTGGTGATATATAGGAGAAAGGTTGCATATAAGGATATAGTACAGAAAGAAAGATTTAGTACGTAGAAAGAGAGATATGAAGCGATTTTAATCTCTTAGTTTAAAGGAAGACAGAGAGTGTATACACCGACGCCATTGTGATCGATTCTGAGCCATGTCACCAAGAGTCTCCAACCATTGGTTACGATAGTCACGCGGACCCCAACCAAGTAGTCTTCATCTACCAATATGGCTCAGATCAGAAGTTAGTGGCTTCAATGACTGATGCCAGGTTTTAATTTGTCGCCCCTAACTTACAACCATTCTCAACACTAGTCAGCATTGCGCGTCGTGGTAGTCGGTGTTCAGGCATATGCAACACGTGGCCCAACCATCTCAGTCGATGAAGATCCATAACCTCATCAACCGATTTACCATCATTCCCTAATACCCTGCGTCTAACCTCACTATTACTTACCCGGTGATCCTAGCAGATGCGACCAATATTTCTAAGGCATTCGTGGTTACTCATTAACCAAGTGGTGTAAACCAACAATAATGAAGTACATTTGTAAGTAACATCTGTTGTGTCCACAAAACGTTTGCTTTACATTATCCAATGTGAACACGATAACTAATAATTTTGTACAAGTACTAGAGAGGACCATATCCGAAGACAACACGACTCGACAAAGTCATTGACTAGTTGGACTAAGGTGTATTGGAAGGTGCTTGAGGAAATTGCAATTAGTGAATATAGAGCTTAGGGGACATGAGATGAAATTAACCGAAACGATCCAAGTATACTCATTCATTATATTATATAAAGTTGCCAAATACATTACACTGTCTACTCCCAGTTTTATTCGTTTCCTAAACATTTTTTGTCATAATTCTAATTTTAGACCAGTTCTGATTTTTCTAATCACTTTTTACTTTTCTTGGTAATGTCGAAACTTGAATGGATAAATATTTGTACTAGGATTCTATGTTATTCATGTCTGTTTACAAATAGATGAGAAGAAATCGGAATCTGATTGATTACAGAAAAAAACATGTAACTTTGTGGCACACGGTAAAGTACGTATTTGTGAAATTGTGATGTTAACTAGATAGAGGCACATAAAAATATATTTCTTCTTCCCAACCCGTCTTTCCTAACTTTTATCTGCAACCATAAAGTAATGGTATTACAGTTGGGAAATACCAATTCACTTTTAATACGTTTTTTTACTTAGTCACGAATTTTCCCGTTATGTGGAATATCCTCTATTTTTGGAATTATCGATTTTGATATGATCGTTAAAAAGTTGTTGGATTTACACGAAATCCGGATCTTTGGAAAACGAGACGAGATCGGTCGAGTCCCAGTGAATTTCAAAACATAAATATGAACAGTAATAACTTTTCTTAACTCCGCCTGTAGCTCTTCTAGAGTTACTGCAGGTCCCAAGCCCGGGTAAAACAGGACGGTTGGGCATGGGGTTAGCGTCCCTATCCCGTAGAAAACTAACTCACTAACAAAACGCTAACCAGAAAAAATAATTCAAACCATTTAAACTCTGCCCTGGGAGTTAGAAGAAATATGACGCTTCATGGTGAAAGCCGAGTTCCTTCGGAAGCCATGAGGCCGATGCCACTTCTAACAACCTGAGCAACAATTTTTATAGGTACATGGAACGTCCGGACAATGTGGGAGACCAGAAAGACCAATCAAATAGCAACGGAAATGAGGAGATACAACTTGGCAGCACTAAGAATCAGCGAAACCCAATGGATCCAAGCTGGACAACAAAGGCTAAATACGGGAGATGCTGCTATACTCCGGTCACGAAGAGGAAAATGCTCCACACACTCAGGGAGTTGCTCTAATGCTGTCCAAAGTAGCACGAAATGCACTTGTACGATGGGAATCTCACGGATCCAGAATCATCAAAGCATCATTCAAAACAAAGAAGAAGGGGATCACAATGAACATTATCCAATGTTATGCACCCACCAATGATAGCAACGACGAAGTTAAAGATCAATTCTATGAGAGGCTGCAGTCAATCATAGAGAAATGCCCAAGAAAGGACCTCACCATTCTGATGGGAGATCTAAATGCCAAAGTCGGAATAGACAACACTGGATATGAAGATATTATGGGACGACATGGACTGGGAGAGAGAAACGAAAATGGAGAAAGATTTGCAAATTTGTGTGCATTCAACAAATTAGTCATAGGAGGCACAATATTTCCACACAAACGTATACACAAGGCTACATGGATCTCACCGGACCACACTACAGAGAACCAAATAGATCATATTTGCATCAACAAAAAATTCCGAAGGACAATGGAAGATGTGAGAACCAGGAGAGGTGCTGACGTAGCTTCAGATCACCACCTAGTTGTAGCCAATTTAAAACTGAAGCTAAAAAAGAACTGGACAAGTGGACAAACAGCAATACAAAGGTTCAATACAGCCTTCCTTCGAGATACTGACAAACTCAATGAATTCAAGATAGCTCTCAACAACAGGTTCCAAGCCTTTCAAGATCTACTGAAGGAAGAAGAAACTACTATGGAGGACAACTGGAAAGGCATCAAAGAAACATTGACTTCAACGTGTCAAGAGGTTCTGGGCCTAAAGAAACACCATCATAAGGAATGGATCTCTATAGAAACACTGGACAAGATCAAAGAAAGGAAGAACAAGAAGACAGCAATTAACAACAGCCGAACACGAGCAGAGAAAGTCCAAGCACAAGCTGAATACATAGAAGCAAACAAGCAAGTGAAGAAGAGCACTACAGCCGACAAGCAGAATTACGTGGAAGAACTAGCAACGACGGGGGAGAAAGCTGCGAGAGAAGGAAATATGAAACAACTACATGATACAACGAAAAAACTAACAGGGAGATAAGGTAAACCAGAGAGACCGGAAATTTTATCAGATAGTTTCACAGTTATCATGATAGCAACAATTAGTTCTGGTGATACATTATAAATAGTCAACATATAATAATTGCATAAATGCTTTTGTATGCACATAGATGCGCGCACAGCCAAAGCAACAAGCGATTCACTGATTACATCAATCAATTAATTTTGTAACCAGACAATAAAATAAATGAAAAGAGAAAGTAAAACACACTTACCAACTCTAATGTACCATCAGCTAAATTGACTAAATCAAGATAATAAATACCATCGTTCGTGCCAAACAGAATAATTTGACCTTCAGGAGGAAAGTAAAGGTAGTATAGTATGGTAAATTGTTCCATGTGCAATAAACACACACAATATCAGTGGCAAAAAACTTTCTCCGCTAAATGACAGTCTAAATAATAAGCTTCTCCCCACTCCCAGTTTTTGTATCTTATTTACACATACTACCATTTATAATAGTGATGATGGCTTTTAATGAAAAATAAACAAGGGCTAAACTGCTTGAAATATGAACAACAAAATAAAAGTGTTAACCAGTTGTTTAACAGCATATAGTTCTTTTTTATCCTGATCAATTAAAATGGATTATTGCTTAATACAATAAAATAAAATAAAGCCGAGTTGAAGCAATAAATAATCGTTTGAACTGATTTTTTTTACTGCTGAGTCATAAAATTCTACGACACCTACTCACCTACATACATATTCTCTCTATCCCTATTAGATTCACTCAATTAAAATGAGTGAACGCAAGAACAAGAAAACGATGTATCTAAAAAATATTAGTTAATGAATTAAATCACGGGATCCAACAAATGTATCATTTACATACTGAATAATCATATTAAACCAATTAACAAATTCGATGACTTATGTGCAGTGTACATTGTTGTTACCTATACAGTAATTCGATGGTGTAATAAAACAGAGTGGAGTATGTGATCATGAAAGCTTCGAGAAAATGGTGAAGGATAATGTGCAGTTTGATTTCAGTAAATAGTTTTCCCGAATGGGATGTATATATTGTTTATTTCATATCCTACAATAATAAAAAATCCCATAGTAAGCAATTTTTGTAATTACCTCAATAATGTATAAATAAAAATATTAATTAATTAATATAGTATCGTGGGTTGCTATTTGTCTGTTTAGCCTTTTACACTATCGGAAGGTTAGTGGATAAGTAGTAGGCCTATTCAACGCTACGTTTTCTCTCCAATCGAAAATTAACTAAGTTGTTGTTCAACTCGTCTTCGACTATCGCCAGATGCATCAAAGTACTTTATATCATTCTTACATTTTCATACATCGTTTTATCATCGAAACAATTGTGTAGATTAACATATGGTACAATCCTATTTTTGTCAGTTGCAAAAAATCCCTACTCCATTTAACTGTCTGATCTTTTCATTAGTTTACAGATTATATATGGTAACTTAACACACAGACTATAAAGTACATTACATATTGCCATTTCACTATATGCATATAAATAGGATGAAATAATTTCAACTGATCACATAAAATTGTGCATTTTGTTTATAGTTATATTTCAGTGATCATCGTCACACTCATTCGTCAATCATCACCATATTGTAGATCAATAATTTAAAACAAACTGTTCAAAACTAGTTAAATAGATTAATTTGAAAAGACACATTCTGTAGTTGTTATGATGTTGGCTGTCAACAAAAAAATGTACATGCACAATCATTTAGTTATTTACTGAAATCCGTATCTTGTTTTTTTTCTTATAATTAAACACAATCGATGACTAATTTACTAAAGCTGTTTTTTATGTAACAAATTTCAAAGTATTTAGTCATGGTAAGCATTATGCTAGTTAGGTTTATGAATTTCGAAGAGGTTCTGAAAACAATTCCACGGGAGAGTATTGGGTTGTGGATGAGCGATTCCGAGCTGTCACAACATACGAAACAAAAAAGAACCGTCTAATACATTTTGGTTCCCATTGATTTTAAAACTAATGTTACTTCATGACAAGAACTATAAATAAATTCATAATACTGAATGACCATACGTTTTTGGTGAAAATGTATTCTTTGGGTTAGATGGTATAATTTTGAGGCTTTTATTATCTTTCCTGACATTTGTATGCAAAGAATGACAGGATAAATTTTGACAATAATCAATCAAATTTAATATCGACAGAATAAGCTGGTAGTTTACTTGTGGTAAAGTAATATAAGCTTCAAAATGAAATTACCTTGATTTTAGAGAATACAAACTTACCAAAATCATTGATCTTGAATATCAATAAAAATTATCACTACTATTTCGATTATGCATAAATCACTTCTTAAAATGTTTGTTCAGTTAGTCACATATCACTTGAAACACTTTATCATCTCATAACTTCTACATTCTTTACTAATATATCATTACATTTTAACAATTTGAGGTGGATGTAAGTAGCTTATAATAGAATCACAATTAACAATACATATACAGAACATAGCAGCCTCAGAACAAATATACATATCCCACATTTTTCAGTCGCATTAATGAGATAAGAAAAAGAAAAATGACTCGAAACAACAACAACAATAATAATACCAAGTGTATTGAAAATGAAATATAATCTGCCAAAAAAGGAATGGAATTTCACAGTCTAAATTATAATCCAAAAAGTTTTAGTAGAGAGAGTACAAATGCTTTTTATAAAGAAGAACTCTATTCAAAGTTTTACGAATGAATTTTAAAAATTAAATCTTTTCCATTGCACTTTCTAAGTCATAAAGTCAAAAAAGCGCACACAGACATACGTGTACTTGTTATCGGTTTTAAAAGATGCCGATAGCTGTTGTGCAACAAGCATAAACAGAGCTCCTCTTATAAAATTAATCGGATGTATATATATCACTGAACATTTGCTCAATTTATAAAGCAAAAAATGTTACAGTTTCCGGACCGATTGTATAATCGACTATGTACACGTTATAATTAAAAAAAGAAATATGTTGATTACATAAGAAATGACGATTGATTTCAAGAAACTGTTGGAAAAACTTATTTCCTTAGTGTGTGAAAACTATATGTCATACTAATGACATATATCTTTGTGGAGTAAATAGTACTGAAATTATTCAACAATCCTGAAAACTATTATTCTAAGTAGCAGTCCGCTATCATTGGTGGGATCCTTCATGAAAGTGTTCTTTATATTCTAATAGACAGCGATAACTGATATACAAAATTCATCCGATGATGACAACGTACGATTGCCAGTGACGAGTGGACTATAATTACGAAGCGGTTGGAATCGGAAAATTTCATAACAATCCACGGTAAAGGGAACTGTCGAATTAAATTAGCATTAAAAAAATGATGTAGTAGAGATTGATATCATACACGTTTAAACGAGCTTAACCGTTGAAGAAAATGCTAATTTACTTTACGTAAATGATTTCGTCGAAAAGAAAATTTTCTTCGCTGAATTCTCTTTATTTTTATTTAATTTACTTTTCGTTGAATTGCAGTCGCCCTTAACATGCAACTAAATGACACAATACATTGTCTAGCATTGCATCTCTTGTTGTCACGCTCACACAATAGGATATCTAATAAGTTTTCATTTCCAGCTTATGCAAAAAAGATCGATAATAATAGAAATCTTCATTGTAACTAACATGGTTTACATAAAATAAATAAAACAACTTCTTGACATATGAGAATGAAACATAGCGAGGGGACCTATTCTGCCCCTCGAAACTTACTTATGAAGAAATCGTGTTTGTGATGTTCGACTTTTCATCAATGAAATCAAATTATGACTAAATAATTGAGGATGTTGACCTGATATTGACATCATTGTATCTTTGAACACAAATAACCAAAGACATCGTCTTGGAACAAGCTAATAAGTAGAAAACAAAAGAACAATCTTATGAAGCGGTCTTCTTAAAAAGATTGAAAGGTTATGTATTTATGAACTTTATATCCCTTGTAATATATATATATATATATATATATATATATATATATATATATATAACAACTAGAGCATTTAGTCAGTCAGCTACAACGTAGGACCAGACACATATATGCATCGGTCCAAGTTGCCATACCGCATTAGCACAACAAGATGAATACCGGATTCATAGAAATAGTTAATTCAGTGGTGGTGATATATAGGAGAAAGGTTGCATATAAGGATATAGTACAGAAAGAAAGATTTAGTACGTAGAAAGAGAGATATGAAGCGATTTTAATCTCTTAGTTTAAAGGAAGACAGAGAGTGTATACACCGACGCCATTGTGATCGATTCTGAGCCATGTCACCAAGAGTCTCCAACCATTGGTTACGATAGTCACGCGGACCCCAACCAAGTAGTCTTCATCTACCAATATGGCTCAGATCAGAAGTTAGTGGCTTCAATGACTGATGCCAGGTTTTAATTTGTCGCCCCTAACTTACAACCATTCTCAACACTAGTCAGCATTGCGCGTCGTGGTAGTCGGTGTTCAGGCATATGCAACACGTGGCCCAACCATCTCAGTCGATGAAGATCCATAACCTCATCAACCGATTTACCATCATTCCCTAATATCCTGCGTCTAACCTCACTATTACTTACCCGGTGATCCTAGCAGATGCGACCAATATTTCTAAGGCATTCGTGGTTACTCATTAACCAAGTGGTGTAAACCAACAATAATGAAGTACATTTGTAAGTAACATCTGTTGTGTCCACAAAACGTTTGCTTTACATTATCCAATGTGAACACGATAACTAATAATTTTGTACAAGTACTAGAGAGGACCATATCCGAAGACAACACGACTCGACAAAGTCATTGACTAGTTGGACTAAGGTGTATTGGAAGGTGCTTGAGGAAATTGCAATTAGTGAATATAGAGCTTAGGGGACATGAGATGAAATTAACCGAAACGATCCAAGTATACTCATTCATTATATTATATAAAGTTGCCAAATACATTACACTGTCTACTCCCAGTTTTATTCGTTTCCTAAACATTTTTTGTCATAATTCTAATTTTAGACCAGTTCTGATTTTTCTAATCACTTTTTACTTTTCTTGGTAATGTCGAAACTTGAATGGATAAATATTTGTACTAGGATTCTATGTTATTCATGTCTGTTTACAAATAGATGAGAAGAAATCGGAATCTGATTGATTACAGAAAAAAACATGTAACTTTGTGGCACACGGTAAAGTACGTATTTGTGAAATTGTGATGTTAACTAGATAGAGGCACATAAAAATATATTTCTTCTTCCCAACCCGTCTTTCCTAACTTTTATC